CACTAACCCTAACCCTAACCCTAACCCTAACCCTAACCCTAAAAAAAACCCTAACCCTAACCCTAACACTAAGCCTAGCCCTAAAGCGACCCTAACCCTAACCCAACACTAACCCTAGCCTTAACCCTAACCCTAACCCAACACTAACCCTAGCCCTAACCCTAACCCTAACCCAACACTAACCCTAGCCCTAGCCCTAACCCTACAGCGACCCTAACCCTAACCCCAACCCTCCAAGCCATACCCTATCTCCAAACACAACCCTAACCCTAAACCTCACCCTAGTCCTAACCTTAACCCTAACCCTAACCCAAATGTTAAACCTAACCCTCACCCTAGCCCTAAACCTAACCCTAACCGACACCATAAACCTCACCCTAGACCTAGTCGTAGCCCTAACCCTTGCCCTCCAACATGTTCAAAGTCAAGGGGATAGGAAGAACCAGCAGAGTAGGAGGCACTGGCAGAAGGGCGCAGGGTCCTGGGTGTGGCCAGGAGCTGGGCCGAGGGGCATGCTGCTGACCCGGGAGGCCAGGAGCTGGCTCTGGCTGAGGATTGAGGGTTCAGGTTGGGGTCAGTCTTTCTTCAGAGCAGTTTTAGGGAGTCCATGGGGCAAAGAACTTGCTTGAGGGTCAGAAGAAGTAAAAAAATAAATAAATAAAAATGGGGCGATTTGCTTTTCAAGGGGGAAAGGGACGTGGCCAGAGGGCCAAGCAGTGGGGGTCGAGGGCTTGCGTGGCAATGGGAGGACCACTGGGTGCGTGGACGCTGTGCTAAGAGCTGATGACCGGGGAGCTGGCCCAACACCTATCCTCCTCCTGCACCCACGGGCGGGGCCCGGCGCCCAACAGGGACCCACACAGGCGGCCCCGCCCCTGCGCCTGGGCTCTGATGGGCCCTCCACGTGCTCTGGCTCTGCCCTGACCCCCCCCCTCCCCTGCCTCGGAGGAGTGGAAGCCCTGAGCCGTGCAGAGGCCCAGCGCCTTGATGGGCGTGGTCCGGGCAGCTGGCATCCTTTTAAAGGAACACCCTGTGCTGTTGTCACCCCCTTTTCATTAACCGCCTCAGAAAATCACCCAGCGGCTGGCGGACAGGCGGGCCAAACCCCAGGGGGGCGGGGCGGCAGCACGCGTGACTGCCCAGGAACTGCAGCCGGAGGGAGGCGGGGATGTGTCTGTGGCTCCTGGCCCGGCTTCTGACCCTGACAGCGCATAGCTATCTGCTTCCCTCCCGCAGCCTGTCCATCCGGGGCTCAGCCAGCAGGGGAGACAGGGCCCAGAGCGGGAAGGCAGGCGTGGGCACCGGGTGCTACAGGGCATTGTCTTCCTATCAGGAGAGGCGGCGAGTGCAATGTGTGCTCGGTGACCCCAAAGCATTTGAAACTCGTGTCACATTTTCCTAAACACACATCCACACATGGGGTGGGGAGTGAGGGGCAGGGGGGCCTCTGTCAGACCAGGTCCTGGCAGGCAGCCCAGGCCTGCCTGCACACCTGCCGGCTGTGCCCGGGGGAGGAGCCAGAGCCGCCAGCCAGCACCGGGCCGGCTCCCTTCCCGGCTCCCCTCGGCCTGCCCAGGTGGCCGGGAAGGCCGTGCTGTCGAGGAAAGATGCGTTCGGAACGTTGTCTGCACCAGGAGGGGGGGTGGGGCGTCCCCTGAGGGAGCAGCCTGACGCGGGCCAGCTGTCCGCGGGGCCACGGGCTCCTTCCCCTCTGGGCTGTCTGGCCGGTGTGTCCAGCAGGACCCTCCTCTGGCTGGTGCCTCCAACGCCCAGCGCCTCGGGGCCCTGGCTCTGGTCTCATGGAGGCCTGACTTCCCGCTGGGTCACCATGGCAGCAGCTTCCTCCGGGGACTCCAGCCCGCTGTCCTGCTGCGGGGAGCTCGAGGGCACGGAGCCGCCCTGGCACCGGTGCACCAGCTGCCGAGCCCGAGCCTGGCGCCGACCAGACAGGTATCAGCCGAGCTGCCTGGGGGGACCCCCTGGCCAGGAAGAACCACCGACTCAGGAAGCCCAGTCCCTCCCAGGAAGTCACAGCAGACAAAGGGCCGATGGGGATTTGAACCCAGATGCCCCGCCTTCAAGGCCAGTTCCCACCGTGCTGGAGGGCGGGGGCGGAGGGGGGGGGGAGTGATGGACTCGATTCGCTGTGCGGGACTCAGGCTGGGAAAGGTCCGAAGGGGGAGTGAGGGGGCTCCACTGGCAGGAAGTTGCAGCCCAGCACGTGTGGCTCCGGGGCTGAGCACTGACCTATGAACCCGGAGGTCACGTATGATTCTGGTCAGGGCACATGCCTGGGTTGCGGGCTTGATCCCCAGTGTGGGGCGCGCAGGAGGCAGCCGATCAGTGATTCTCTCTCGGCATTGATGTGTCTATCTCTCCCCCTCTCCTGTCCTCTCTGAAATCAATAAAAATCCTATATAATAATAGAGGAATATGCAAATCGTCCAGGAAGCCATAGGTCACGACTGCTCAGAGGCGGCATGCACAGCAGGTGCGGGTGGGCGGGCCTTACGGCGTTGGGACATTGGGGACGGGGTGGGGCTGCAGCAGGGGGGTGGGAGAGAGGGTTAGACAGGCACACACAGAGGGAGGCCTCCGCTGCAGCCCTGCCCCTGGGGGTCTCCCCGGGCTCTGGCCTACCTCTTTGGGCCAATCCATCGAGGAGCTCCCGATGGGTGGGCGGGGCCTACCTCTTTGGGGCGATGGATCTTGGGGTTCCCGCACTGTGACAGGGCACAGGCCAGGATCCCCCCCCAGCCCCTCCCACACACACCCTGCCGAGTGCATGAATTTCGTGCACCAGGCCACTAGTATGTTTAAAAAAGAAGAAGTTGCAGAATGTTCCAGAAGTTGCAGAAGAAGTTGCAGAATGCTCCAGCCCTGGGGTCCTAAGACTCAGCTTCCCAGCACAGCCCCGTTTTTCTCCCACCAGTTCCCGGTGTTTCCGGTCCAGAGCTCTAGTTTCTGCACCTGGACCAGGCACGCGCTCGGCGGGCGGGCGGCCGGCCCATCGTGGCCCTCGCTCTGGCTCAGCAAGCTCGCTCTCAGGAAGGGCGGCCACTTGCCAGGACCGTGCAGCTGCGAAGAGGGGCTGGGAGCGCGGGCCACCCCCGAGGCCACGCCGCTCCGGTGGTTGCGGACGGCGAGGGGAGGACGGCCTGGAGCTGCGGGCCTCCGTGGGCTGAGCTGGTGACCTGACGCGCTGGCCTCGCTCGTGGCAGAGGGCACAGGCCAGAGGTCAGAGCAGCGAGCCGGAGCTGGGCACAGCTGTGACGCCCGTGTGCGGGGTGTGTGTGGGAAGGGTGGGGTTCAGCCCGCTGGGTGGGCTCACGTCCCTGAGGGGTGGCTTGTGCACAGGGTTACGTGGAGGCAGAAGCCCACCTGGGCATTGATGCCCCACGAGGCACCCATGTGCCGCTGATTGGAAACACTCGCGGGTTGATCAGTGAGTGAGTTTCCGCACCTGTTGGTCTGCCCGCCCGGTCACTCGGCCGCTCTCTGTGGAAGAACCGGCTCTGGAACATCCCATTGTTCCCTTCCCCGCCTCCCAGGCCCCCAGAGGCTGCTGTCCCAGCTCGGCCGGGACACAAGCACCGAAGGCCCGGGTGCCCCCTGGCCAAACCGGACAGCGGAGAGGGCCCCTGAGCGCTGAGGGGAGAGGCTGGAGGCGCCCTCTGCCCGCTGCCGGGGCCTCACCGGGAGGAGCTGAGGGGCAGGGCGGGGGGAGGCGGCGTTGAGCTGTGAGCACGGAGCGGCGGGCGGAGCACGGTCTGCAGACCAGCTGCTCGCTCCCAGCTGGCTTCTGTTCCCAGCGCGGTGCAGCCTGGGCTCCAGACCCCGTGCCAGGCCCGAGCCAGCTGCCCCGGGCTATTCTGGGAAGCCGCTCCGCTCCTGCACCTCCGCCTTCGAGGCATTTCCCGCGTCACTCGCTGGGAGCGGCTGCCCGCCTGCCCCGCCTGCCTGCTCCCTGCCCCCGGCGTGGCCTCGGCCAGGAAGACCCGCTTCCAGCTCCTGCAGCTGCGCCAGCTGCAGCTGATGTCGGGGCTGGAGGGCAGGGAGGCAGGGAGAGCCAGGGTGCTGGGTGGCAGGCGACACGGAGGGAGGGGTCCCTGCACCCCTCAGTCTCCTTTGTGGGAGCCACTCCTTCTGCCCACCCCCAGGCACCTGGCCCCCAGGCGTCCATCCTGTCCAGGGCCCATGCCTCCTCCCTTCTCTCCTCAAGGACGTCCCCCGCCTATGAAGGACAGGTGCTGGGTGGCCGGGCGGACAGCGGTCAGCGTGGAGAGCTGGGGTGGGGCAGGGGACAGACGGGGTCCGTGGGGAGGTCAGAGTCAGCAGGGCCAGGAGGACCCAGAGCCTCCGGCACCTCCTGGGGACAGACTGCGAGACTCTGAGCCACTCCCCACCCACCCAAGCTGAAATGGCCATGGCTCCTGATTCCACCACAGGGTGGCCTGGGCCTCGGGGCCTCGGGGCCTCGGCAATAACTGGGCTCACTTCCCCGCTTAGCTCGGGAACGTGGGTGTGGAGTCACGTGGGCTCCTGCCGCTGGACGGTGATCCTGGCACCGTCTCCCTGGGCGGCAGCGCTGAGGGAGGGCAGGCCGGGGCCTCTGGCCATCGCCCTGACACCTGAGAGCCTGCTGCCCTCCAAGCCAGACCTCGAACCCCAGTGCGGGTCACGTGGCCGGGCTCTGGCTGCCCCGGGGGAAGGGGGAGGGCCCTGCACCTCCATGGCAGCCCTGTGGGGAGCAGGCTGTGCCTGGGTCACCTCGTGTTTATGCACATGTCACGCCCTCCCGGGACCCGGCGGGCTCCCCAGATCCTCCCAGAAACTGGAATAAAGCGAGCGAGGAATAAAGCGAGCGAGGCCAGAGGCTGGCTCAGAGCGCATTGAGGTCTCTGGGGTCACAGGTTCTCGGGCAGAGGGACCCGGGGGTGAGGGGTCGAGCGCGGGCCCGGGCCAGGGAAGCGGCTGGGCAGCAGCGGGGGGCAGTGAGGTCAGCTCGGGGGGCCCCGGGGCCCCCGGTCCGTGCCGTCCTTCAGCTTGTGCTTGCAGAAGAGGCTGTAGAGCACCCGCAGCGTGCTCCTGCTGTCCTTGTTCACGATGTCTGTCCGGGGGAGAGGCCGCCGGTCAGCCCGGACAGGGGTGGCCGTCCCCGTGCGGGCCCCAGGGCTGTCCGGGGACTGGGGCCCCAGTGCTAACTCCCCAACCCGGGCGTGCGGGCAGCTGGGCATGCTCAGCCCCAGTCCCAGGCGGGACCCGCCGCACGGCCCCGCCCTCCCGCCACCCCGTCCTCCCCTCACCCCTCCTCCGGGGCAGCTCGACCTCCGGGCCTCACCTCTGCGGCCCCCCATCACCAGGGCACGTCCCCCACCTCCTCTCCGGGACCCTCCCCCACGGGGTGAAGCCACACTGCCCCCCACAGAGCAAGCGGCTGGGCGCACCCACAGGCCCTGTCTGCCCCCACCCCGCCCACCCCCTCCCCACCGCCCCGTGGCCGCCGCTCACCTTCGGGGCGGACGGGGCAGCCGAGCAGCCCTTCCTCCTTCAGCAGCTCCAGGGCCAGGGTGACGTTGTGCAGCTACAACGACAAGACCCACAGACGCTGGCAAACGAGGCAGCCCCAGCCCAGCCCCGGCCCCGAGGCAGACCCCCTCCCCCGCCACGGCCAGCCGCGCACCAGGAGGCCGCCCCTAGTGGGAAGGCCATCCGGGGGCCCGCCAGTCAGGAGGGCTTCCTGGTGGAGGCAGCCTGGAGGTGGCCGCCATGGGAGGGGCTTAGCCAGGGCTTAGCACCGGTCCCTGCTGGCCTCGCCCCGGGCCCGGGGGTGGCAGACACCCTCAGAACCACCTGCGTTTCACGGGCAAAGCAGGGATGAGGGGCCCCAGGCTGCCGGAGGCCACGGGGATGGTCTGAGCTCACAGGACGGGAAGGGCTGGAACCAGGTGCCTCGCTCTGGTGCCGAGCACAGCAGGCTGGAGATGGGGGGGGGGGGGGGCGCCGGGCCCAGGCCTCCGGGGCCCTGACCCCGGCTTGGCCACTGGATGACCGGGAACAGGGAGCAGGGCGCTCGGTCCCAGCAACCCTTACTCACCGGCAGAGTGGGGTCCCATCCCTCCCCTGTGTCCTCATAGGGGATCCTGGGTGGGAAGCCCTATTGTCCCCGGGCTCAGAGCATCTCCCTTCCCACATCTCGTCTCTCCCCTGGGCTTCTGGGACCGTCAGGTGGAGCCTACCCCTCCACCTGGGCAGCGGAGAGAGGGGTGGGGGAAGTGGGACAGCGAGCCCTAGAGCTGGCTGAACCCCCGGTTCCCTGGGCCCCCCAGCAGGTCCTTCCTCCCAGGGTCACAGTCCCCTGGGGGCTGGACATCCCAGACTGGTGGCCGGCCTTCCCAGCCCCGCCCACAGCGGGCAGCACATATGCTGGGCAGTTCCCATGGCAACCTAGACAGGGCCAGAGGCAGGGCTGGGCGGGGAGTCCAGCCTCGCCCAGGCTGCCTCTGGTCACCCGGGAGGTCCGGGCAGGTCGAGTCTGGAGATCTAGGTTGGATGTCTGTGTCACCCCTCTGGGTCAAAGGTCACAGGTCAGACAAGTCCCGGGGCCTGGCTGGGCTCAGTCCCTCATCTGGGCCGTGGAAAAGCCCACTTCCTGCCTGCCATTCCCAGGCTGCCGTGGGGTCGGTGGAGACCACACCCACTGAGGGCAGAGACCACGCCTGTTGGAGGCAGGTGCAGAGGGATGAATAGCAGGCCCGGATGTGAGGAGAGGGGCTAGGGGACCTAGATAAATCGATGGATGGATGGATGGATGGATGGATGGACGGACGGACGGGTGGGTGGATGGATGGATGGATGGATGGGTGAATGGATGGATGGATATGTGGATGGACGCATGGATGGATGGATGGATGGATGGATAGGTGGATGGATGGATGAATGGATAGATGGATGGATGGATGGATGGATGGATGGATAGATGGATGAATAGATGGATGGGTGGATGGATGGATGGATGGATGGGTGAATGGATGGATGGATGGATGGGTGGGTGAATGGATGGATGGGTGAATGGATGGATAGATGAATGGATGAATGGATGGATGGATGGATGGATGGATGAATGGATGGATGATGGATGGATGGATGGATGGATGGATGGACAAGTGGGTGGATGGGTGGATGGATGGATGGATGGATGGATGAATGGGTGGACAAGTGGGTGGATGGATGGATGAATGGATAGGTGGATGGTTGGATGAATGGATGGATGGATGGGTGAATGGGTGGACAAGTGGGTGGATAGATGGATGGATGGATGGATGGATGGATGGATGGATGGATGGATGAGTGGGTGGGTGGGTGGACAGGTGGATGGATGGATGGATGGATGGATGGATGAATGGATGGATGGATAGATGGATGGATGGATGGATGGATGGATGGATGAATGAGTGGGTGGATGGATGGATGGATGGATGTGCAGGTGGGTGAATGGGTGGATGGGCAGATGAGTGAATGGATGGATGAATGATGGGAGGGAGGAAGGGAGGGATGGGTGGGCAGCAGGTGAAGGGTTTAATTAATTGGGTGAATGAGTGAACCGGAAAGTCAATAGATAGGTGTGCGGGTGGTGGGAGGGTGGTTGGATGAGAGACCCCCAGGCAAACACACGTCCTCCCCACGCTTCACGGCACTGGAGGTGAGGGAGCAAAGACAGCCGTGCCCATTGCACAGATCCGTCCACCAGAGGCAGACCTCAGGGACGGTCTGGACACTCACCATCTCCGCAGGGGAGGTGGGCGTGAGGTGGAATTCCTTCAGGTGCAGGAAGAAGCCTTCCAGCTGTCCAATCAGCAGGAGTAAGATGACGCCATCTGCAAACTGCAGAGGGGGTGCTGGGCACAGAGCCTGGGGTCCCGCTCTCCTTTCCCAGGCCCAGCGGCCCTACCAAGCTCACACGGCCTCTCTGGGCCTCAGCTTCCGGGTCTGAGAAATGGGGCCGCGTCCCTGACCTTGAGGCATTGCTGTGAACGCAGCCACAGCAGGTACGGAGCGGCTCTTGGTGCCAGCACTCGTGTGTGCTGAGGAGAAGGCCTGTTCTCCAGGCAAAGAGCCCCTTATTGTGTGTGAAGCAGCACACGGGCCCGGCAGCTCCGGAAGCTCCGGAGCGAGCGGCGTTAACGGTAAAATTGTTCCCCGGGGAGGAGGCACAGAGCAGCCCGCGCTCCCCGGCGGCCGCCACATTAGTATTCCTGCCGGTCCCGCCTGTGTGCGCGGAGATAAAGCCGTCCCGGCACCGGCGTGTCCTATGCTAATGCGGCCAGCCCAGCGCTTCAAAGAGTCAGAACGCGCCTGGATCTCGGAGGAAAGCGAAGACCTCCACGGAGATGCCTTCAGGGCCTGGACTCCTTCCTGCTGGTACACCCTGGTGGTGCCACCAGATACCAGGCCTCCAGAGCCCTCTGCCCACCGCCTCTAACCGGCCTCGCCCGTGCCGCCCTCCCCGGACACCGCCGCTGTCCCAGGAGAGAGATGGAGAGGGGGTGCGAACCCCAGAACCACCCACCTGGGTGTCCAGGTCCTGCACGGACAGGCCCAGCCGTTCCACCTTCTGGTTGACGAAGGTCACGATGGCCTGCCCGGGGAGAGCAGGGGCCAGCCGGGGCTCAGGGCGCCACCTTCCCCCTCAGGGGACAGAAAGCCCTCCTTGACCCCGCAGCACCCAGCACCACAGGGTGGGCCCGGGCCCCGATTCTTCCCCGTTACCCCTGGCAGCTCCAGTGGATGGACGGGCGGCTGGGTGGGTGGGTGAATGGATGGATGGGTGGGTGGGTAGATGGGTGGCTGGGTGGATGGATGGATGGGGGGGGGTAGATGGATGGGTGGGAAGATGGGTGGCTGGCTGGGTGAAAGGGTGACTGGGTGGACGGATGGGTGGGTGGATGGATGGATGGATGGATGGGCGGGTGGATGGGTGGCTGAGTGCATGGGTGGATGGATGGGTGGGTGGGTGGATGGATGGATGAATGGGTGGGCGGCTGGATGGATGGGTGGATGGGTGGGTGGGTGGGTGGATGGATGGGTGGGTGGGTGGATGGATGGGTGGCTGGGCGGGTGGATGGGTGGGCAGGTGGATGGGTGGGCAGGTGGGTGGGTGGATTGGCGGGTGGATGGATGTAAACTCCGTTTACAGGCTTGGGGCCCGGTCATCCTTTACCCTGCGGCACGTGGAGCCCCACCCCCCATGCTCCACGGAAACGGCCTGGGTGGGTGGGGGCGTGCGGGGGCGTGCGGGGGCGGGGGCCAGAGCTCGGGGACTGGGGCCTCTCACCTCCTTCACGGCGCCCACCTTCTCGGGAGCCAGCCGGAACAGCTCATCGAAGACATCCTCTGAGAGACCACAGACTGCGGTGACTGCTGTGACCTCAAAGCCGAACAGGTTTTCTCCTCCCCCCCCCTCCTCGGCGTCCCCGGCCGGGGAGCTGGGTTTTAGCTCAGGCTCCTGGAGTTTAACACCGGGCCTGGTCCCAGCCCTGCCTCCCTGCTGAGTGGCTCAGGAGCATGGCCACCCTCTCTGTGCCTTCGCTTCCTCACTGTACCGGCTGGGGTCATTGTGAAGGTCACATCTGATAGCAAGGATGGAATTTGGCGTGGGGGCTGGGCCACCATGACCTTCAGTAACTTCCCTCCCTCTGCCACCCCCACCCCCCCATCCCTTCCTCTGGAAACTACCAGTCTCCTCCAGCTCCCTGCTCCACCCCAGGCCACGGAGCTGCCAGCCGAGCAGGGGCCAGCCGGGGCTGACCGGGCCCCGGGTCCCTGGGCGGGCCGTGGTGGATTGGCAGAATGAGGGCAGCGAGCTCCCCCCGAGGCTGGAGCCTCCGCGCACACGGCCGGGGAGGCAGCTGAGCCACGGCCACAGGGCCTGGGGACCAAGCATCTTGGCAGCTCGGGCTCCTGGTCCAGCCTCAGACACCCGGGCCCAAGGCCTGCATTCTCACTCTTGGCAGCTGACACTCTCCCCCACACAGACTGAGCGGAAATGACCTTCGGCTTCTGCCACTCAGCTGCTGTGTGACACCTGGCAGCCACTAGGCCTCTCTGTGCCTGCTGTTCCGTCGTTAGTGAGGGGAAGAGCGGCACACGGAAAGCCCCGTAAACCAAGAACCACAGTGCAGACGCCGGGGCCCCCACCGGACCGCTCGGCCAGCGGGCAGGGAAGTGTCCCCGGAGGAACAGAGCGGACAAGGCCAGCGCAGCACGAATGGCCAGAAACGGTGTGCGGAGGCCCTGCCCCTGACCGTGAGATCCGTCTTCATGCCGCTGCTAACAAACACTGCTCCTGGGCAACCCCAGGGTCCTCCTGCGGCCCCCCCACACACACTCTCTCTCCTTCCTGCCTCAGGCACCCTCCCTCCGCCCTGTTCCTAGAAGCCCTGGCCAGTCATTATTTCTATCTCCAGGAGAGGTGCCCCTGGCAAAGCCCCTGCCCAGACAGCCCTGTGTCCTGTGCAGTGGGAGAAATGTCAGGGTGGATGGATGGATGAATGGAGGAGGAAGGGATGGATGGATGGATGGATGGATGGTGAATTAATAGATTGGTGGGTGATGGATGGATGGATGATGGATAGATGAATGGATGGGTAGACGGATGGATGGATTGGTGAGTGGATGGATGGATGGATGAGTGGATGGATGGATTGGTGGGTGGATGAATGGATGGATGGGTGAGTGGATGGATGCGTGAGTGGATGGATGGATTGGTGGGTGGATGGTTGATGATCGGATATAGATGGTGGATGAATGGATTGGTGTGTGGGTGGATGAATGGATTGGTAGACAGATTGGTGGGTAAGTGAATGGATTAATAGATGAACAGCTGGCCAGCCCAGTTGCCTGAGGAATGAGTGAGTCAGTGTATGAAGGAAGGAAAGAAGGAAGGAAGGAAGGAAGGAAGGAAGGAAGGAAGGAAGGAAGGAAGGAAGGAAAGAAGGAAGGAAGGAAGGAATGGCTGGGTCAGTAAGTCAACTGGTGAGGAGCTCTGTACAAAAGAGCAGCCACAATCACTATTAAGCACCCACTATGTACTGAGCACTTTTACAAACCCTCTTTGAGCCTCATCACCAGCCTAAGAGGTGTGTGCCATCATTAATCCCATTTTACAGAGGAGGAAACGGAGGCACGGGGGGTGAGAGGCTTACCCAATCTCATGACTAATAAATGGGAGGCTTCGTGTGCGGGCCCAGGCCACCTGGCTCCGGAGCCCACACTCTTCACAGCTCCGCCCTCACCCCAGTGGGAACGAAACACCTGTCTGCCTACAGGAGCCAGAGCATGAGCGGGAGCAGCCAGGTCCAGGCCAGGACAGACAGAGGAGGGCCGGACGGGCCAGCAGGAAGCTCAGGCACACTTCAGGCCCCCACGGAGCCGCCCCCGTCCCTGCAAGCCCGCGGTCACACGCACGCCACAGACGGACTCCCGCACGGCCGGCGGCACTCACTGGCAGCTTGGTCCTTGTCTGTGCTGCGGGGGTGGCGGGGGAGAAAAATGCAGAGAAATGGTTAGAAACCTTGAGACCCACAGCTTTTTACCACGACTAGGCCTGACCCTGGCTGGCAAGGTTTCAGAGAAACCGGCGTCTGTACCCCTGGCGCTGCGTAAGGGAGGGGTCTTGTTTTGGGGTCGCTCCTTAGTTCGGGGAGGGCGGTGTGCTATTCAGAGAGTAAAACGCGCCAGTCGTCCGTGCGCAGCTCCCACTGTCCCGCACGTGTGCGACCCCGCCCTCCTCGGGGTGTGGATCCGTCCTGGCACCCGCTGTGCCCTCCGCCCCCCACGCCCTCCCCCGCAGACGGCACCCTGCTTTGGTTTCTCCTGCCTGCCCCTGCCTGTGCCTGTTCTGGAAGTTCCTGTAAATGAGATCACACAGTAGGCCCACCTCTGGCTTCCTTCCCTCCATTTTTTTCTGTTTTGATTTTTTTTTTTTTCTTTTCACTTTTTTGTTAAATTTTCACCCCGCCCCTGTCCCCTAAAAGCAAGGCTCTGGGCCCAAAGTAGCCACGCTTTGGGGAGCCAGGGCCCCTCTGCAGGGGGCTGGGGTCGGGGCAGCTGGAGCAGAGAGCCAGCTCCCAGCACAAAGGCAGAGGCGCCCGTGGGTCCAGGACTCAGCTGGGAGCCAGAGGTGGCCCTGGCCGCGGTGTCTGAGCTCACGGGGGCAGAGAGGGGCGGTTTTGGGGTCACGAAGGGTGAAAGAATGTGGTGCCATGGGCTCCAAAGGCACCTTCCCACTCAGGGTCCCCAAGTCATTCCACCCTGGAACTCAGGCCCGGCCGGGGGGCTCAGAGCAGCTCACGAGGGGCCAGGCTCCCCCAGGGGTGTCTGGGAAGTTAAATGGGCCTCGGCCCCACTCCGCTCACAGGCGCGGGGCCCGGCCACCCCTTACCCGGCGGCGCCTGGAGCCCCACCCCCCACGCTCCACGAGACGAGGAGCCACAGACCGAGGGACCGAGGGACCGGGAAGCACGGGAGTGGAGGAGTCGCCTCACACACATCCCCTACAGCCCTCACCACCGCCCCCGCGGGGGAGCAGCCCACTCTGCAGAGGAGCAAGAGGCTCAGAGAGGGAGGTGACTGGCCCAGGGTCACACAGCTCCGCCGCAGAGCCAGGGTGAAGGCTCTGAGCCCAAGAGCACTGACCGCTCCAGGGGGCTCATACGGCCACGGCCAGGGCCTGCGCAGAGCGGCCTCCGCAGACGTTAGCGGGAAGCGAGGGCCGAGGGCGCTTCTGCAGGCAGCGCCTCTCAGACCCGCCCGGAGAGCCGCCCGGAATGCGGTCCTGCCTCTGGGAGGGCAGGGCTCGCTGGGCCTGCTGCTCTCCGGACAGACAGACCGACAGCCGCTGAGCAAGGACAGAGCTCTCGCCCTGCACGCGAAGGCTGGGGTACGAGTGAGTGCGTGGTGCCCTGCCTCCCTGCACCAGGAGGCCGTCCAGGTCAGGGTCCCTTGGAGGCAGCACCTCCCTGCCCCGTGTGGCTTCCCAGGAGGGCTCGGGCCCCAGGGTCCTCCTGGCCCCGTGGCTGTGGGTGACCTCGTGGCTGAGGGCCAGGGCCCTCTGATCCCAGCTCTGCTTGCTGGTGGCAGAGAGGGTGAGGGAGCTGGGGGAGGCAGGCATGTCTGGGAGGGCCATCAAGATGAAGGGGCCCCTGGGTCCCCACAGGCCTGAGGGGACAGGCAGAGAGTGAGGGCCCCCCAATCCCACCGAACCCGGCCCAGCCCTGCTCCTCCCTCACCTGCTCGCGGTGAGCTGCTCCACTGACTTCTCCGACTTCAGGCCACTCTTGGTGCTCTGAGGACGGAGGGGAGGGATGCATCACCCAGCGAATGCAAGGGCCCAGGCCTCGGGCTCGGTCTAGAGGCCAGAGCAGCCCCTCGGAGCCCAGTCCCCCTCAGGGTAGCCTCCTGGCCTCATCGCTTGGTCCCCTGTGGTCCTTCCCATGAGCCTGAGACCCACGAGGACTGGGACCCCAGTCTCATCAGCGCCTGGCTCACAGAGGCCAGAAACGAATGAATGGTGAGTGGATGGGTGGATGACTGGATCGGTGAATAGATGGGTCAATGAATGGGTGGGTGACCGGATAGATGGGTGGATGAGTGGATGGATGAATAAATGGATGGGTGAATAGATTGGTCAATGAATGGGTGGATAGATGGGTGGATGGGTGGATGGATGGATGGATGGGTGGGTTGATGAATGGATGATGGATAAATGGATGGGTCAATAAATGGATGGGTGGATGGGTCAATAAATGAAGGATGAATAGATGGATGAATGAATGGATGGGTAGATGGATGGGTAAATGGATGAATGAATAGATGGGTCAATGAATGGGTGGGTGGATGAATGGATGAATAGATGGGTGGATGGGTGGATGGATGGATGAGTCAATGAATGGATGGGTGAATGGGTCAATGAATGAATGATGGACCCAGGATGCTCGCCCCATGTGATGGAGCCCAGGCCCAGCCTCACCTCCATGGTGATCACCTCCACCTGCACGTTGGGCGGGAGGGGCAGGCTGGGCTGGAAGCGCTTGGCCAGCGCCAGCAGGAGGTGCAGGGTGGCCAGCAGGTCCTTGTTAAAGATGGCTGCGGGGAGGCACACAGGTCAGTTCTGGGGCCCGTGAGGTCTCCTAATCCTCACAACCACCCCCTGAGCCCCCCGAGACTGTCCCCCCCCCCGGAAGCAGGGGCCTGGAGATCTGCATTCTGATCTAAGAACAGTCACACATTCAGATCGAACAGCAGCCTCAGGCCCCCGGGGCCGGGTTATCCACGGATGTCCTCTGACCGCTGTCTGCCCCTGACACCAGCCACGGGCCCTGTCCTAGTTGGACACCGGCTGGACAGATGGTTAGGTTTAAGCCGAACATGACTTTGGTCGGGGCAGCACCAACAGTAAGAACACCAGCTGCCGACCGTGAGGCAGGGAGAGAGCAGCGAAGGCAGGGGCGTGCGCCCAGCACGAGGTGGATTTGCAAATGGCGACATCATTGCCGCCAACCTCGCTGTGTCCTTCCTGCCTCAGTGTTCCCATCCGGGAAGTGGGGAGAACGCAGAGCCTGGGAGGGCAGGACATTCACCGCGAGCTGTGCGAGGAGGGCGGCCTGAGTGCTTTGCAGGCGCCGCAGAGACAATGGGAACGAGCTCACAGGAGGGGCTGCCATGGCCCCTCAGGGCAGAGGGGCGCGTCAGGGCGCTTGGCACTGTCTGCCGTGGCTGCGCTGTGCCAGGCTGTGAGCACCGTTCTCTGCCGGGTTCCCTGCAGCAACATCCGGGGCCGGGAGTGCCAGGCTGTTAGCTCTGCAGCTAACCGCACCTTTGTGCCCACTCTGCCCCTGCCCGAGGCCTCTGCCTCCTTCCCAGCCCCGGTGCGCCCAGACTGAGGCAGCCGAGCCATGCCCGGCGGGGAGAGAAGCTGGCTCCAGGCACAGGCCGCTCCGGCCGCCCCGGCCACCGGCCCGGGGACCTTACCGTCCACGCTCCACCGGGGCCTCTCCTCCTGCAGGCAGCGGTCGGTGGCCTCCAGGACCGCCGCGAGCTTGCGCCTCTGGTTCACGGCGGTCAGGGCGATCTCCTCCACCTCCAGCCGCGTGCCCGCCAGCCGCTCTGCGTGCGGGAGCGGGCGGGGAGGGCAGGGGAGGGGGAGGAAGGAGGGTGACGGTGTGGGCTCCTGGGGGGACCAGCGCTCAGCCCCTCCCCTCCGCAGTGGGACAGGAGGCTGCGGGCCCCGCCCTCCCCAGGCCCCCGCTGTGCCCCCCCCCCAGCATTTCTGCAGGGCAGCGTGGCCGGCGTTAGAGACCGGACAGTGACCAGGCCCGCAGCCCCGTGTGCCCTCTGGGAGATGGGTAGGAGCAGCCCTCAGTGTGCCCTCCGGGAAATGGGTCAGGAGCAGCCCTCAGTGTGCCCCTCCGGGGGATGGTCAGGAGCAGCCCTCAGTGTGCCCCTCCGGGGGAAGGGTCAGGAGCAGCCCTCAGTGTGCCCCTCCGGGGGATGGTCAGGAGCAGCCCTCAGTGTGCCCTCCGGGAAATGGGTCAGGAGCAGCCCTCAGTGTGCCCCTCCGGGGGATGGGTCAGGAGCAGCCCTCAGTGTGCCCTCCGGGAAATGGGTAGGAGCAGCCCTCAGTGTGCCCCTCCGGGGGATGGTCAGGAGCAGCCCTCAGTGTGCCCTCCGGGAAATGGGTCAGGAGCAGCCCTCAGTGTGCCCCTCCGGGGGATGGGTCAGGAGCAGCCCTCAGTGTGCCCTCCGGGAAATGGGTAGGAGCAGCCCTCAGTGTGCCCCTCCGGGGGATGGTCAGGAGCAGCAGGAGCGGCTCTGGCCTGGCCACGCCTGCCCCACGGTAGGTCCGTGCCCAGGAAGCCGCAGGGAAGCTGGGGGTGTGCCAGGGCCCTTGGGAAGGTGCTGCCCGGCCCCAGGCTGAGCCAGCACCAGATCAGACCGCCCGCCCGCAGGGCCCCCCAGCTCCGTGCAGACAGACCTCAGACCAGGCGGAGCTCCCACAGCAGAGGGAGGGGGTGGGGGGAGGGAGAGAATGGGGGGAGGGAGAGAATGGGGGGAGGGAGAGGGGATAGGGGAGGGAGAGGGGATAGGGGAGGGAGAGAATGGGGGGAGAGAGAGGGGATGGGGGAGGGAGAGGGGATAGGGGAGGGAGAGGGGATGGGGGGAGGGAGAGGGGATGGGGGAGGGAGAGGGGATGGGGGAGGGAGAGAATGGGGGGAGAGAGAGGGGATGGGGGAAGGAGAGGGGATGGGGGAGGGAGAGGGGATGGGGGAAGGAGAGGGGATGGGGGAGGGAGAGAATGGGGGGAGGGAGAGGGGATGGGGGAGGGAGAGGGGATGGGGGAGGGAGAGGGGATGGGGGAGGGAGAGGGGATGGGGGAGGGAGAGGAGATGGGGGGAGGGAGAGGGGATGGGGGAGGGAGAGAATGGGGGGAGGGAGAGGGGATGGGGGAGGGAGAGAATGGGGGGAGGGAGAGGGGATGGGGGAGGGAGGGGGATGGAGGAGGGAGGGGGATGGGGGAGGAAGGCCCGTGGACCCAGAGGCAGCCTGAGGGGCTCTCCGACGGCCTGCTCCCTGGGCAGTGGAGCCGGGCGGGAGTGGGTTTGCTGCCCGCGGCCTCTCCCAGCGAGCGCTCCGCACATGCTGGAGGCAGGTGCAGGGGGAGAGAGAGGCCCAGGCTCGGCAGAGTCAGCAGGCGGGGGTGCGGGCGGCGAGGGCCCCGGGCAGGCCGGGCAGCCACTCACGGAAAAGGTGGTGCAGGACGAGCCCGTCGAACATGTCCTCCTCCAGGCTGCGGACCACGATGTGCTCGGGGAGCAGCTCGGCGTTGATCCACTCCAGCAGCATCTGCCGCCGGAGGACGGTGAGCGGGCCACTCCCGCCGGCCCCTCCCGCCCCTCAGGCCGCCCTGGCCCTGGCCGCCGGCGCAGGAGCACAGGCTTCGGGCTGATGCCTGGTCTAACCCGGCCCTGCCGCTGCCCGGGCCCGGCCGGCCGGGCCGTCTCTCAGAGCGCTGTGCCCGGGGGCTGGGGCAGCGGGTCCCTCTCAGTCCTCGGTCAGCCTGGGAGCGCGCACGGGAAGGTGCAGCCAGCGCTCAGTCATGCCCCTCCGGGCCTGCGGTCAGGATGGGGCCTCACCTGCTGCAGCGCGGCGAACTTGGGGTCCTCCCTGGACGCGGGGGGCAGGAGCTTCTTCCTCTCCCCTGGAGGCAGAGCGAGCGTCACACGCGCCTGCGGACGCCCAGGCCCTGGTCCCCGGAGAGCGGTCACCTTGGCCAAGGGGGACTGGGTCCTGCTGCTTCACACACAAGCACACACACACAAGTGTACTCACACACGGTCCACACACACAGATGCACAGGCACCTACACACACAGCCACACACAGAGACACACCTGCACACGCGCACACACACACACTCTCTCAGATGTACAGGCACCTACAGACACACATATGGATACACACAGACTCAGACACACACTTGCACTCACAGATACACAGACACATACCTGCACACAGACACAGACACAGTCACAGACACACAGAAAGAGGCCCGCTGAGCACCAAACACCCCAAGTGGTGGGTTTTCACACAGGCCGGGTCCCTCCGGGCCACTTGGTCCCTCCATCCCGGTCCCTCGGGGCCACCTGGTCCGCTCCGCTCTCCCTGCCTCTAAATCAGCCGTAAAACAGACCCAACGGTTTTCTAATAACAGGGCTGTGCCTGGGGCAGCCTTCCTGGCGGCTTCCAGCCCTGAACCAGCAGCCAGCGGACAGCCCGGCGTGCGAGGAGCCGCCCAGACCCTGGACCCGGCCCCATCCCAGCCACTCGCTCAGGCTCCGGGCCCCACACGTGTTCACAGGCTGGAGCCCCGGGGCCGGGGGAAGCCACGTTAGCCACGGCCCGTCTCTCTGTTGTTCTAATGGCTCCAAAGGACACGAGTTCCGGAGCCCACGCGCCTGGCCTGGGTCTCGGGGTCCCAGGGAGACGTCAGGGCAGTGACGTCAATGCCACCCCCCCCCAAGAACGCAGGCATGCTGATGGGCCCATACCTAGCCTGCCCCCCACCCCCTCGCCCTAAAGAGACCCAGCCCACCCCCACTCCCCCTGAGATGTCAGACCTGCCCAGAATCCGCCTGGACAGCCTGGTGGGTGGCAGCTGAGTCCTGGGGCCGCCCTCCTCGGGCTCAGCTTACTCGGGTTCCCCTCTGCCCTGCGAGGGGGCTCTGTGCCTCAGTGTCCCCATTTACACAGAGGAGGTGAGAGCGCCCCCTTCGAGCCACCAACGAGATGCTGTTCACAGAGGCGCACAGCACAGCACATAGTAGGCGCGCGTGGCAAGTAGCTCCCTCCTCCTCGCCGTCACCATTAACCTGGGGGCATGCGGCTGTGCGGGGCAGGGGTAGCCGTGGAAGGTTCCAGAAACGGGCTGGGTATTGGGCACAAAGCCGGAGGCGTATGTTCCGAACAGAACGGTGCCCAGTGACCACCAGTGTGAATGCATGTTCCCAGGCGCGGCCTGTTTGGTCTGGGATGCAGATCCCACGTCACCCCACCCCCACGTCACCTCGCCCGGACCCCCGCCCTGCCCCGCCCCACCCGCCCGGACCCCACCCTGCCCCCGCCCCACCCGCCCGGACCCCACCCCACCCAGACCCCGCCCTGCCCCCGCCTGCCAGGACGCACCTTGTGGGAGCTGCTCCTCCGTTGGTCTGGGCGCCTGCAGCAGGTTGTAGGGGGACTCGGGGTCCATCCTCTGCCAGCCCTGGGGGCGGGACAGGGCGTCACCGTCCACAGGCCCAGCCCTCTGTGCCCCTCTCCCAGCGGGAGGTGCGGGACAGGTGGGAGCCGGCTCCGGGTGGGTCTAGGCGGGACAGGTCCCGACCGAGGCCACACACAGCGCTCTGGACACTGGGTGGAGCAGGGCACAGGCCAGGGGCACAGGGCGAGGGCACAGGGTGAGGGCACAGGGTGAGGGCACAGGCTGGGGGCACAGGGTGAGGGCACAGGGCGAGGGCACAAGGTGAGGGCACAGGCTAAGGGCACAGGGTGAGGGCACAGGCTGGGGGCACAGGGTGAGGGCACAGGGCGAGGGCACAGGGCGAGGGCACAGGGTGAGGGCACAGGCTGGGGGCACAGGGTGAGGGCACGGGGTGAGGGTACGGGGTGAGGGCACGGGGTGAGGGCACAGGGTGGGAGCACAGGGTGAGGGCACGGGGTGAGGGTACAGGGTGAGGGCACGGGTTGAGGGCACAGGGTGAGGGCACAGGGTGAGGGCACAGGGTAGGGGCACAGGCTGGGGGCACATGCTGGGGGCACAGGGTGAGGGCACAGGCCGGGGGCACCGCCTATGCACAGGCTCCACAGGGAACGGGGCATCCCCCGCCGGGCACAGAGTGGCCAGCCCACCAGGTTCCTGTAGCACAGGAAGTCCCCCACCCCCTGCACCCAGGACAGGAAGTCCCCCACACATACCCCACCCCCCCTGCACCCCGCAGTCAGGACCAGGGGCTGGCACTCCTCAGACTCCCCACCCAAGCCCAGTGTGGCCTGCGGGCAGCGGGGAGCACGGATGTGTTGTCTACAGCCTGAGCTCCTGGGAGGAGGGGGCGGGGAGCAGGGTCCGAGCCTGGTCAGCGGGCGCAGAGCGCCGCCAGCCTTTGAGTGAGGGACGGAGCTGGGGGCACTGTCAGCTGGACTGGCCCCACTCCGAGGCCTGGCTCCGGGGGGGCCCGGCCCTGCCCGGCCCCCTCCTGAGCGGGGCTCCCTGCGGGGGCTCTGCCTCCGGGCTGTTTGGGGGCCTCACGCCCCTCCCCATGGGAAGGCGGCACCCACAGCGTCTGCAGGAACTCACTGGGGCCCAGCTCGCCCCGCCCGCCATGAGCCAGGCCTCCTTCCTGTTCCCCTGGCGACTTCCTCTCCCACAGCGCAGCCCTGCTGGGCTTCTCTCTGCAGCCCCCCCCCCCCCGCGGTGCCAGCCCAGCGGACCCCCCCCCCCCGCGGTGCCAGCCCAGCGGACCCCCCCCCACGGTGCCAGCCCAGCGGACCCCCCCCCCGCGGTGCCAGCCCAGCGGACCCCTCCCCCCCCCGCGGTGCCAGCCCAGCGGACCCCCCCCCCGCGGTGCCAGCCCAGGCGGACCCCCCCCGCGGTGCCAGCCCAGCGGACCCCCCCCCCGCGGTGCCAGCCCAGCGGACCCCCCCCGCGGTGCCAGCCCAGCGGACCCCCCCCGCGGTGCCAGCCCAGTGGACCCCCCCCGCGGTGCCAGCCCAGCGGACCCCCCCCCCCCGCGGTGCCAGCCCAGCGGACCCCCCCCCGCGGTGCCAGCCCAGTGGACCCCCCCCGCGGTGCCAGCCCAGCGGCCCCCTCCCCCCCCCAGCGGTGCTGGAGCCTCCACAGCGGCAGCCAGCCTGGCATGCAGCCCGGCCTGCCCTGGATGGGGGCGGGGGCACAGCCGCCGGCTCCCTGAGTCCCCGAGCCCCTCCTGGACGCGGGTTCCATGAGGCTGAGTCCAGAGAGTTGGACGGGCCTGGCCGGCGACACGAGGCCTCGGTTCCCGGCCGGCTCCTCCTCTCTGGCTGTGCGACTCCGGCCGGCCCCTGCCCTCTCTGGTCCGGCCGCTCCCTAACACAGAGGGTGGATCCGGAGCCGCCTCCCGCCCTCACAGCCTACAGGCCCTTCTCGGCCCGGCCCGGCTCTCCTCTGACGACCGAGTGGCCTTCCTGCATCGGGTGGGGCTCGGGGAGGTGCACGGAGCTGGAGTCCACTCACCTGTCCAGAGGCAGGCCCTCGGGGCAGCAGTGGCCGCCTCTCAGCGTGGGGACGGGGTGCAGGGGGGACAGGAGCTCCGGGGCCCCTGGACCCAGCCCCCTCGGCTCAGACGGCAGCCTCGGCCCTCAGTCCCCCTGCCTCAGCCCTCCTGTGAGCTTGGCCTCACAGGCCTGCAGACAGACCGACAGACAGACGGCCCAGGGCCCAGGCCTCCCTCGGGCAGGGCTGCCAGAGACTCACCTGGCTGCTTTCTCCGCGTGAGAAAACGAGAGCCACGGAGCTCCAGTGGTGGCCCGGTTTCACCCAGAAGCCAGTTCCGGTTCCCCGGGCCGAGGGGCTGAGGCCCCGGAGGCAGGCGCCAACCCTGACTTCCTCCGGGGGGGGGGGGGGGGCCAGCCGAGGTGTCTGCAGGCTGCTTCCCTCCTGCAGGCTGCTCCCCCGCCTGAGGCTGCTCCCCCCACCGGAGGCTGCTCCCCACCGGAGGCTGCTCCCCACCAGAGGCTGCTCCCTCGCCGGAGGCCGGGGCTGCCAGGAGCTGCCACCAGCCCCACCAGAAAGCTCTACCCGGGCCCCGACCGGCCACACCTCCCGCCCCTATGCCTCGCAGGCAACTCCAGTTTAACGTTTCGACTTCCTCTCCCTCCCCGCCCACTGCACCAACCCAGCCAGTTCCTCCCGGGTTCCTAGTCCGCAGACGGCAGCACCGGCACCAGCCACGGGGGCTCCAGGCACTCGGCTTCCCAAGGTCCCCACCCCGCTGGCCAGGCCCCACCCCACCCGCCAGGCCCCCACCCTCTCACCTGACCACACTGGGCCTCCTGCTGACCCCATCCTGGCACCGGCTTCTCCCAACTCCAGCCGCCCTGGCTCTCTCCCCGCGTCACACCCCTCACTCAGCCCATCCATGGTGCCCAGGGGCTCTTAAAAATGAAATCCAGTCACACAGCCCCGCCCCTTCATCGCCATGTGACCTATCGCTCCATCTCCTGACCCCTCCGCTCCCTCTTCCCCCCCAGCCACACTGACACCTTTCTGGTCCTTCAAAGTGCCCCATGCCTGCCGAAACCGGTGTGGCTCAGTGGACAGAGCGTCGACCTGCAGACTGAAGGGTCCCAGGTTCGATTCCGGTCAAGGGCGTGTACCTTGGTTGCGGGCACATCCCCAGTGGGGAGTGTGCAGGAGGCAGCTGATCGGTGTTTCTCTTTCATCGATGTTTCTGGCTCTCTATCCCTCTCCCTTCCTCTCTGTAAAAAATCAATAAAATGTATTTTTAAAAATACAACAAAAAATACAACAAAACCAAAAAAACAACAAAGTGCCACCTGCCTTCCTGTTTGGGGATCCTCACACTTACGGGTCCTGCCACCCCAGCTTTTAAAACAGCAAAGTCCTCATCCCTGTCATGCCTCCTCCTTCAGGAAGCCTTCCTGGACTGCCTTGCCTAACGCAGGTTCTCTCCCAGCCGTCCCCACAGCCCCAGGAGGACCCGTAAGTGTGCAGATTTGTCCCAGGGCCTGGCACAATGCCGGGCGCCACGTGGGCTGCCGCGGACAGATCCTGACAGATGTCATACGAACGTCCGTGTTCCCATGTGTACGGCTCAGGGTCCCAGGACCCGCCCCAGGCGAGGCCCAGCCCTGGTGGGCGTGAGGATAACGATTTACTGACCTGGGCTTCCACTTAAACCAAAACCTGACAACCGAGCTCCCCAAACCCAGCCCCTGCGCGGAGGTGGCCTGCTGGGCGGGCCGGTGGCCTGCTGGGCGGGCCGGTGGCCTGCTGGGCGGGGCCGGTGGCTGCTGGGCGGGGCCGGTGGCTGCTGGGCGGGGCCGGTGGCCTGCTGGGCGGGGCCGGTGGCTGCTGGGCGGGGCCGGTGGCTGCTGGGCGGGGCCGGTGGCTGCTGGGCGGGGCCGGTGGCCTGCTGGGCGGGGCCGGTGGCTGCTGGGCGGGGCCGGTGGCTGCTGGGCGGGGCCGGTGGCCCGCTGGGCGGGGCCAGTGCTGCGTGGGCTCTGCCTGGGGAAGGCTCTCAGGGGTGACCTCAGAACGCCCCTTCTTCCTCCAGATCCTCAGAGTCTGAAATCCCGCTGAGGGCCAGCGGCCACGTGCTGCCACTGGCCGCGTGCTGCCCCCGGGCCCCAGCACCGGCCGCAGGGCCCCCAGAGGCCCCGGGGGAGGTGGCGGGGTTCGAGGCTTTCCTGGGTGCTCGCAGCTCACACCGGGTGCCCACCCAGAGGAACGGAGATGGAGCAGCTTCCATAAAGACAGGGTTCGGCGTGCACGGCCCGCTCCCGCCCTGTGGACCTGAAGCCTGACCTTCCCCTCCTCCTCCTCCATGCCCCCTGCCCGCCCCCCCGCACACACACCCCTCCCTCCCTCTCCTCGCCCCCGGCCTCCTGCACCCCGTTAACCCTACGAAGCACCCCATGCTCCGCTCTCTGGGCAGCGGCCTGGCTACCACGGCCCTGGACACCCGGCGACGGTCCCCTGACCAGGACGGACCCAGGAGCACGCAGGTCCGGTGCTGCTGCCTGAGGGACCGGGACACGTTGTCCTCATCGGTTCGGAGTCAGTGCCACCAGGAGAGGCCGGGGCAGGCGGCCCGGCCCGCCCTGTCTGCACACAGGCCTCCAGCCGGACGCGCTGGGGGAGGGGAGCGCCCTGGGGGCATAGGGTGCTTGTCTGCAGCCCAGGGACACCCCTCCCCCAGGCGACCCCCACTGCCTGCAGACACGGCCCGTGTCCTGATTTAACGGGGAAGGACAGGGGGGTCCCTCTGGAGAGCGTGGGTCCCTTAGGCCCAGCAGGTCCGGGAGCAGAGCCAGCCTCCCAGCAGGTGGCCACTCGGTCTTTTCCGGCGCTGCTGCCCGGCTCCCCGCGGCCGCGGCCTTAACTTCCCGGGACGGGCGACGCCTCCGTGCCGTCCGCCGGGGCCGGCAGCAGGGCCAGGTGAGCGTGGAGACGGGGCCACATCGGGGTCACGGGCGTCCCTGCCCGCCTCCGGCAGCGCCTCTCCCCCCGCCTGAGAGGCGGCTGTCCTGGTCCGAGCTGGAACTGGGGACGCCCCGTGCTTCAGGGTCACTCAGCCACAGCGGCTCCCGCCCACGGACCCCGGCTTCAGCCCATGGCCCAGCCCCGCGCTGTGCCCGCTCCTCGGCCTCCGCCTCGCTGCCGGCACCAGGTGCCAGGTGCCAGGTGAGCCTGGGTGGGGACAGTGTGGCCGGGCCAGCACTGTGCCGGCACCACCAACAGGCGCCGACAGAGGCAGCGGCAGCCATGACAGAGCTCTTTCCGGAAAAGCCCCAGCAGCCTGTTCCCACGCAGCATTCTCCTCACCGGCGGCTTCGGGCCGAGGGGTCCCGGGCCCCCAGCACACACACACACTCACACACACACACACACACTCACACACACATCACACACACTCACACACACTCACACACACACTCACACTCATACACACACACACACACACTCACACACACACTCACACACACACTCACACACACACACACTCACACACACACTCACACACACATCACACACACTCACACACACTCACACACACACTCACACACACATCACACACACTCACACACACTCACACACACACTCACACACACACTCACACACACACACACACACACATCACACACACTCACACACACTCACACACACACTCACACACACACACACACTCACACACACACACACACTCACACACACACACTCACACACACTCACACACACACTCACACTCATACACACACACTCACACACACTCACACTCACACTCACACACACACTCACACACACACACTCACACTCACACACACACTCACACACACACACTCACACACACACACTCACACACACACACTCACACACACTCACACACACACTCACACTCATACACACACACTCACACACACTCACACTCACACTCACACACACACTCACACACACACACTCACACTCACACACACAGTCAC